TTTCCCTACTCAGGATGCCACCTGGGGAAAAAATATCTTTACCAAAGGCTCCCTTGTGACCCCCCCCTGCCATCCCCAGTTGTGTTTCAGGGTGTAGTTTGGTACCAGGGCGCAGGACTCGAACGTGCCAGGCTCTATTATTAGTTCTGTGTCAGGTCCCCTGATGGATGGAGATATTAGCTGGGTTATGGACCTATTGATTTCTCAGGGGTTTGGGGTGGGATTTTTTTTTCCCTTTGTTTCGTGTGTGAGAGCAGCTCAAGGAGGAAATCCAATGCTCCCCTGCCTTTTGGCTCTGTAGGGGAACTTTCCAAGAGCTGAAAAATCAATTTGTGGTGGGCTGGATCCTGCAAATTGCCACAGCTGAAGTGAGGAGGGTGGGGTGATTTTTTTCAAGGGGGAGACCTCCCCGTGGTGCCTCCTGACACCCGTGGATTTGAGGGGCAGAGTTGGGCAGGTCTGGGCTGGAAGATCCCACCTCCCTCCATCAATTAGGGCCGTGTGGTGAGTGGGTAATTAGATCTCCTTGGCTGGCACTTGGGCCCTATCAATTATCCTTGCTCTGGAGGAGGCACAGAGGGACGTGGGGGCCGGTAATGAAATGCGGTTGTGCCAGGCATTGGGAGAGGGTGGGGGTGATGGGTGCACCCACTTCTTGGGGTACAAATCTCTCCCTTTTGCTGGAATTGCACGTTTTGGGAGTGAGATCCCAGCGCTTTGGGTTTATCCACTTTGGCAGCAGATCCTGCCCATCTCCCTGATCATCCCTGCCTTTTATTTCACCCCACTGCAAGGGACAGGTGGCATCGGTGGGGATGGGGACACATGGGGACCCTTGTGGGTGGGAGGGACAAGCTAATGGTGGATTTTTCTCCTTGTCCTCCCTCCCAGGGCTGGTGGTGTCTCCCCCGGGGCCATGCAGTGCTGCCTGTCCTGGCCATTCACCCTGGGGCCGGCGTGACTGGGACACCCTGCCTGTCCTTTTCTGGGTAGGTGACCATGGGCTGGTGGGGGGGACACTGGGACTGAGCTGCCCCTAAGGGGATGGAGGGCAGAGCCCCTTTTCCTACCCCTCCAGCAGCACCTAAAATGTTGGTCACCCAGGAGATGGTGCATCCTCTTCCTCTGTAACTAGTTTTAAAGAGGAAAAGGCCAAGTGCTGACTAAGCCAGGCCTTTGCCCTGCCATGCTGCAGGATTCACCAGCTGCTGAGAGCACAGGATTTCTCTGAGCTTGGAAAATGCCTTCATTCCCAGCTCCAGAGAAAAGAAAATTAATTAACATCACCCTCTGCAGGACCCAAATATGCTTTTTGGCCCATGGAGGCTCCTGGGGGAGCTGAGCCCTGTCCCCACAGCATGTGAATCGGGGCTTCCCACAGGTCAAGGCAAATTTTTGGGAAGCAGGGGAAAAATATGGAAGAGGATGCTGTTGGGTCACACCTAACCTCTCCTTCCACTTCTTCCAGGTCCAACGTCTCCGTCACTGAACGTAAGTAGCTTCTGGATCCTGTGGCATGGGGACTGCTTGGCTCATGCCAGCTGGGGTGTGTTTTTTGGGCTTAGACTACCACAGTTGAGGAGTTCAAATGTTCTGCTTTGATTTTTTTCTTTTTTCCCAGTGGAAATCCATCCTTGCTTCTGTGTTTTGAAGCAGAAGCCGTATTTTTTGGCTGGGAGGGTGGAAATTGCCCCTTTTTTTGGCTCAGCAAAGAGGGATGCTCTGTGGGGGGGACCACTGGGTGTTTCCCAAAGACCCCAGGCCAGGGGCAAGTAATGGCAGTGACGGGACATGATGCTGCTTCTCCGGTGTCCTCTCCATGATCATGGTGTTGTGTGCCAGCTTTCCAGCTGGGGAAGGGAGGAATGGGGGTGTGATATTTTGGAATGCATCACCAGCATCACGTCAGTGGTGAAGCCATGGGGTAGGTGACGTCCCTGTCCCGGGGTGACACACCTCCCTGTGGCCCTGCCTTGCAGAGTTTGATGGAGAATCGGGCGGATGACAGCGGGAACTGTTGTTATCACCGGGGGAATCCTAGCGACAGTGATCCTACTGTGCATCATCGCCGTCCTCTGCTACTGTAGGCTACAGGTGAGCACCGTGGCTGTCCCCCATCTTGTCAGCAACCCCTCCTCGGGCCAAAATCCTGCTGCAGGAGGGCTCTCAAAGTGGGTTTCTTGCCAGTCGTGGGCAGGGATTTGAAACCCCTTTCCCACAGGTGCTGCAGGTTACATCCTCTCCTCCTCCCATGCCGGGGGGTGGGGGGGTACTCCCAAAAGGCTTTTTGAGGATTTGCAGTGCTTGCTGATTTAGCTGTAGGCTTGGCTGGGTTTGCAATAGCAGATGGAGTTTTTAAATTCCCCGCCCCCATCCTGTAAATTAAAGAAGGAGGTTTTCAACAACCTCCTGCTCTTTAAAAGTTAATGTGAGTTTCCAACTGGCACAAGTAAAATACCTTCCCCTTGCAAACCTCACTGGGTGGGGAGAGGATGAGTTCCCCAGCAGCTGCCTCCTGCAGCACACTTGGGGACTGGCTGAGTTTGGCAGGGCTTCTGCTGGCCTGCAAGGCTCAGCTATTGATGGAGCAGAGATGTGGCAGGGCTGGCTTGGAAGCCCAATCTGCCCACCGGCTTCCGCTAACGCAACCCTTCCCCTTCCCCGCAGTACTACTGCTGCAAGAAAGATGACTCCAATGAGGAGGAGGAGGAGGAGGAGGAGGAAGAGGAAGAGCCCAACCTTCCCACCCACTCCCACCTGGGCACCTGCAACGCCTGCAGCAGCTCACGCATGGTGGACGGGCAGGGCAGCCCCGGGTCCCCCCGCAGCGAGCTCAACCAGCACGGG